CCTCCTCCATCTCCTCCTCCTCCTGAGCCCTTTTGGCTCAGGGCACCCCCCCCCCCCCGGGGTCATCCACCCCCCACCCCCCCGCCGGGGTCATCCACGAGGTCACAGCGCCCGGCTGCTGCCCGACCGCGGTGGGGTCATCCCGACCCCACGATGCCCTTGCTTAGACTTGTAACCCTGGCCAGCCAAGCGGCCCATTGTGTGTGGGGGGTGGTGCTGGGGGTGGTGCTGGTGGTGGTGGTGGTCCACGCAGATTGATTTAAGGGAGAAGCGGCATCCTTCATTTGATGGGGGGGGGGGGGGTCCTTTGTGCTACCAGTGGGAAAGTGGATCTCTCTAATTTCTAATCTGCTTCCACATAAAATTCACTTTCAACCTTTACCGATTTGAACAACAACAACAATAAGCGTGTATGTCACAGTAAGGCAGCCTGTGACGCCTCTTTGTTCGGCAGATGGCCGTCACAAGGTTATAATTGGGTGCAAAACATTGCAAATGACTCAGACATGTTGACCAAAAAAAAGCCCCTAAAGTATTGAACACGTACCTTTATTTTACATCGATGACGTTTCGGCTATACTGCTAACATTTGATAACACTGTACAAATACTGGGAGTATTTAAAATCATGCAACGTCTTCATATCCATGCGTTCCATTTAATATGTACATATATGAATATTGTAAAAGGCCTACGTTAGATTAATAGAGTATATTCAAAGTCGACAGTATTTAAACGCGTACGTGCATACACATAATTTGCTTAATTAAAACAGAACTTTTACACCCTCCCTGGTTGGGCCATTTGGTGGACAGAGAACCAAGTGATTTTATGATCACATCTTTGGCCACGAACGTCAGAAAAAATAATTGGGATAAGGACTTTTACACAAAGTGTATATATATAAAATATTGTTCAGACACATTAGAAAACACACGGCAATGTAATACACACGATGGTTATAATCACGCGTTCACTGTTAACGAAACTTGCATCTACCGAACGCGTTCTTGGGATAATTAGTCGTAGACACGAATACAACGCCGCACAAATATAACAATAACTGTGCATTATTATTTGTAATAAGACAATGGCATTAAAGCTGCGATGTAATCTAAAGCCAAGATGAAAATGCGAAACGCGGCGTTGAAAATGTTTAAATGTCTTATACCCGGGCTCGGATAAAAGGTGGTTTATATTTTTCCTAACCCCTAAATACGCCGACAGCTTGTGTGTATTAACACTGTAATTTAATAACAGAAAATACTAAAACATCTAATGAGTCTCTACAAGGTATAAGAGTTAAAATACAAAGTGCAATACTATAAAACTAATAAGTGTAATTTCAAAAACACACACGTAAGTCACACTTTGTTACCGCAAGAAAGGTTATCTGCGGTAATTGTACTGAAATAGTTGTATAGCTGTACTAATCACGTATGCTCTACGTATGCTCCACGCCAACAGAAGATAGAACATTACATTAAAATGAGACAATCTTCAGCATCAGTTCAGAATTGTGATGACACATCCACGTGTTTCACACTGGAGCAATTCGACGAGCTAGAAAGCTCTTTGTCGCAGATGTTCAAGCAAGTTTCACAGATGTTCAGTTAGACATCGATGTCACAAAAAAGTTAGCAACTCTGTGTACACAACAACAATCAAATGTCGTATGCAATCATACATGGGTGGAGAGCGGTGGCGCAGTGATTAGCGCACTGCCGACCACTGAGCCCGGCCACCTGAGTTTGATTCCCGGATGAGTGATATCGATCTATAAAATAAAAAATAATAATTGTTTTTATTTATTACCTACGTGACTTTACCGAAAAAACCTAAGAGTATGAATCCTTGCAGTCACGAAAGTGTCAAATCTAGAAGCGATCTATAAAATACGGTCCTGTGGGCCCACTCACCAACCTGCAATGACCAGAGTGGTGAAGTATGGTCATAACATTCTCACCCACCCCCACAACTCCTCCGATGACCAGAGGTTGTTGTTGTTGTTTAATCCAGAAGCAGATTTGCAAAAGGGGTGCTGAACATCTCCACGCGAAATAAACGAATTAAACTCACGGCATACCTGGACATACAATACTGTCACACACAACCTGAGAGCCGCCTCCATCCTTGAATAATGAATATCCCGATGAGTATATATTATTAATTCATGTACTGTCTTGGATATGTTTACATTTAAACACTGGATATGCACGCATTTTATTAATCGGCACAAACTTGGCGTGCTGCGTGTTGAAAGGGGTTGGCCGTGTTCTTAACCAAAGTTAGATTCCCAACCACGGCTAACATTGGTGGCAAACGACATCTAAAGAATAACCACCATGTCACATCCACTTCATCCAGCAGTGGAATTAACCACGAGTCAGTAGACACAATACTATGTACGCCTGTGCGTAATTCAGTATGCAAACTGCTTTAAACTAAGTAGAGTTGATCTTGCACCCATTTATACAGAAACTACTTTGCCCGTGTACATATACGCAGTGTGCACACCGACAATATACAACTTTCCACATTAGATGAGTGGATATATTTGTTGACTTCAATACAGTATATGTACAAGAGTATACATGCTGTTACATACGACTGCAATGTTTGACACAGCAACAGTATACATTCAGTACTGGTCTAAACTAAAACACAGCAACGGTCTATTACCTACAGTATACATGGTTATAAATAATAAGTACAGGATACATACTAAACTAGTGCATTCCATGGGGCACAGCATATACGTCTTAAACTAGAAGTCTATACAGTATGCATATTGTTCTAAGCTAAAAAACACAAGTCTCCACCGTAGTAAACTCGAATCGTCTACACTCTACATTATAATACTGTTAGAGGCAAAAACGCAACATTCTATACTCCTGTTCTAAACTAAGGCCAGTCTATCCTACAATTTATTCGTTTTTAAGATATAAAAAACAGCAGCAGTCTATATACACCACACATGCAGCTGTAAAATAGAACAGCCTCCTACCTACAATATAATGCCGCTCTAAGCTATAACACAACAACAGTCTAGCCTCTACAATACACACACAAGCTCTCGAAAAGGCAAGTCTACGTGTATATACATAACTGCTCTAAACTATAAAACTACTACGATATGTCCTCCTATAACACAACGGTCTATTACTGCACCCCACAGACACACAGAGGTGTCTGCCAAAAGTGGGACGAAGCAGCAGTGTAAGAAGTTGTTAAGTGGTTTAGCCTTAGGAAGTGAACGTGTTCTAATACAGCAGCAGCAGCAGGAGGAGGAGGGCAATGCCACGTGGGAGAGATCGAGTGAGGTTGGTGGTGGTGGGTGAGTTGGGTGGTGGTGGTAGTGGGTGAGTTGGGTGGTGGTGGTAGTGGGTGAGTTTGGTGGTGGTAGTGGGTGAGTTTGGTGGTGGGTGAGTTGGGTAGTGGTAGTGGGTGAGTTTGGTGGTGGTAGTGGGTGAGTTTGGTGGTGGTAGTGGGTGAGTTTGGTGGTGGGTGAGTTTGGTGGTGGTGGGTGAGTTTGGTGGTGGGTGAGTTTGGTGGTGGTGGGTGAGTTTGGTGGTGGTGGGTGAGTTTGGTGGTGGTGGGTGAGTTTGGTGGTGGTGGGTGAGTTTGGTGGTGGTGGGTGAGTTTGGTGGTGGTGGGTGAGTTTGGTGGTGGTGGGTGAGTTGGGTGGTGGTGGTGGGCGAGGTTGGTGGTGGTGGTGGGCGAGTTTGGTGGTGGTGGGTGAGTTGGGTGGTGATGGGTGGTGGTGGTTGTTGAGTTGGATGGTGGTGGTGGTTGTTGAGGTGGGTGGTGGTGGGTGAGTTGGGTGGTGGTGGGTGAGTTGGGTGGTGATGGGTGGTGGTGGTTGTTGAGTTGGATGGTGGTGGTGGTTGTTGAGGTGGGTGGTGGTGGGTGAGTTGGGTGGTGGTGGGTGGTGGTGGTTGTTGAGGTGGGTGGTGGTGGTGGGTGAGTTGGGTGGTGGTGGTTGTTGAGGTGGGTGGTGGTGGTGGGTGAGTTGGGTGGTGGTGGTGGTGGGTGAGTTGGGTGGTGGTGGTTGAGTTGGGTGGTGGTGGTTGTTGAGGTGGGTGAGTGTGGTGGTTGTTGTGTTGGGTGGTGGTGGTGGTTGAGTTGGGTGGGTGGTGGTTGTTGTGTTGGCACACGAGTTTTGGCAGCGTTGTGCCTCAATCCTCCTAAGATGTATCGGCACCGGTTTCTAAAGAATAATTTTAAAAACCCCGCGACGACGATTTTGGCGGTCCTCTCGAGCACACGACATCACAGTCACACACACACAACAACCCACACACAACAACCAACACGACAACAACCAACAAGACAACAACCAAGACCATCATCATCATCGTCCGTGGTGGTGCATAGCCACGCCGTTGTTATCCGTACACACAAACACACACAGAGACATCCATAACAACGCATCGCCTTCTGCGATTCCGTTCCCCATCCATCCATCGCCTTAACTCAATAAACTATCTCTCTCTCTCGGCTTCTTGCAGGACAACTAAAGATTATCATTCTCTCTCTCTTGTTCGTGGGTGTATAAGCCCAGGTTAACAACAACAACAGCAGCAGTAGCTTTTAAACACAAGACATTATCAACACCACGACTGGTAATCACCATCAATCATCTCATTGAGAAGCTCCGGTTTTGGATAATCTCCTGGCGAATAAATAATTGCGCTACTTCGCTACGAAAGAATACAATCACGGCACAGAAGGAGATATACATATTACTACAGTACTACTTAACTGTGATTGCGACCGATACAATGCTTCTTGTCGTAGCAAAGCTTCGTTATCGCAAACTTGTTACGCGTCGGCAATACGCCACTGAAGTCCCACGGCACAACACTTTGCAGTGTTACGCAGCGTGTAGCCAAGTACACGCTTCGGTGTGTGGGTGGTGGGGGAAGTAATTAATGATGATCACCAATTAAAACAAAACTTGCAACGTTACCCCACGCCGAGACGAGCACGCGAACTTACCGCAATTGTCGTGGAAGCGAACGCTGCGAATGGATGTCCGGGCACAGTGAAGAGTTGTGCATGGGGAGGGGGTGTTGTACATTAGTGGAGTTAAAGGCGAACGCGATAAATAAATAAAACATACATCAGCGATCACCACCACCACCCACTCTCCCCTCTACCGTGCCACAATCATCACCAGCGCCACCACTAAACTCCCTCCACCCCCCACCGCCACCACCATCGCCTCCTCCTCCTCCTACTCCTCCACACCCCCCACAGCCGCTCACTCCCACCCTCACTCACTCACCCCAGCAGCCATGCACAGCAGCACAACAACACTCACACACACACCGTAGTTGTTGTGGCTGGGTGGTGTGTGCACAGCAGCACAACAACACTCACACACACACCGTAGTTGTTGTGGCTGGGTGGTGTGTGCACAGCAGCACAACAACACTCACACACACACCGTAGTTGTTGTGGCTGGGTGGTGTGTGCACAGCAGCACAACAACACTCACACACACACCGTAGTTGTTGTGGCTGGGTGGTGTGTGCACAGCAGCACAACAACACTCACACACACACACCGTAGTTGTTGTGGCTGGGTGGTGTGTGCACAGCAGCACAACAACACTCACACACACACCGTAGTTGTTGTGGCTGGGTGGTGTGTGCACAGCAGCACAACAACACTCACACACACACCGTAGTTGTTGTGGCTGGGTGGTGTGTGCACAGCAGCACAACAACACTCACACACACACCGTAGTTGTTGTGGCTGGGTGGTGTGTGCACAGCAGCACAACAACACTCACACACACACCGTAGTTGTTGTGGCTGGGTGGTGTGTGCACAGCAGCACAACAACACTCACACACACACACCGTAGTTGTTGTGGCTGGGTGGTGTGTGCACAGCAGCACAACAACACTCACACACACACCGTAGTTGTTGTGGCTGAGTGGTGTGTGTGTGGTGTGCACAGCAGCACAACAACGCACACACACACACCGTAGTTGTTGTGGCTGGGTGGTGTGTGTGTGGTGTGCACAGCAGCACAACAACACTCACACACACACACCGTTGTTGTTGTGGCTGGGTGGTGTGTGTGTGGTGTGCACAGCAGCACAACAACACTCACACCGTTGTTGTTGTGACTGGGTGGTGTGTGCACAGCAGCACAACAACACACACACACCGTTGTTGTTGTGGCTGGGTTATGTGTGCGTGGTGTGCACAGCAGCACAACAACACTCACACACCGTAGTTGTTGTGGCTGGGTGGTGTGTGTGTGGTGTGTGCACAGCAGCACAACAACACTCACACACCGTAGTTGGTGTGGCTGGGTGGTGTGTGTGTGGTGTGTGCACAGCAGCACAACAACACACACACCGTAGTTGTTGTGGCTGGGTGGTGTGTGTGTGGTGTGTGCACAGCAGCACAACAACACTCACACACCGTAGTTGTTGTGGCTGGGTGGTGTGTGCACAGCAGCACAACAACACTCACACACACACCGTAGTTGTTGTGGCTGGGTGGTGTGTGTGGTGTGCACAGCAGCACAACAACACTCACACCGTTGTTGTTGTGACTGGGTGGTGTGTGTGTGCACAGCAGCACAACAACACTCACACACACACCGTAGTTGTTGTGGCTGGGTTATGTGTGTTGGGTGTGCACAACAACACTCACCGTAGTTGTGGCTGGGTGGTGTGGTGTGTGCACATCACAACACACTGTAGTTGTTGTGGCTGGGTGGTGTGTGCACAACACAACAACACTGACCGTAGTTGTGGCTGGGTGGTGTGGTGTGTGCACATCACAACACACTAGTTGTTGTGGCTGGGTGGTGTGTGTGTGGTGTGTGCACAACACAACAACACTGACCGTAGTTGTGGCTGGGTGGTGTGTGCTGTGTGCACAACACAACAACACACTCACACCGTAGTTGTTGTGGCTGGGTGGTGTGTGGTGTGCTGTGTGCACAGCACAACAACTCACACCGTAGTTGTGGCTGGGTGGTGTGTGGTGTTGTGTGCTGTGTGCACACCACAACAACACTCACACCGTAGTTGTTGTGGCCGGGTGGTGTGTGTGTGCTGTGTGTACACCACAACACAACACACCGTAGTTGTTGTGGCTGGGTAATGGTGTGATGCACGTGGAGGTGGTGAATGGGTGGTGTGTGGTGTGCTGTGTGTACGATAGAGCAAGACGAGACATACTCACACTGGGACACACACGGCACTTTTTTTATCCCCCCAAAACTCAGTAACCCCCAACCACCTTACACCCTATACCCTAGCCCAACACTACACAACCACCCTATACCCTAGCCCAACACTACACAACCACCCTATACCCTAGCCCAACACTACACAACCACCCTACACCCTAGCCCAACACTACACAACCACCCTATACCCTAGCCCAACACTACACAACCACCCTATACCCTAGCCCAACACTACACAACCACCCTATACCCCAGCCCAACACTACACAACCACCCTATACCCTAGCCCAACACTACACAACCACCCTATACCCCAGCCCAACACTACACAACCACCCTATACCCCAGCCCAACACTACACAACCACCCTATACCCTAGCCCAACACTACACAACCACCCTACACCCTAGCCCAACACTACACAACCACCCTATACCCTAGCCCAACACTACACAACCACCCTATACCATAGCCCAACACTACACAACCACCCTATACCCCAGCCCAACACTACACAACCACCCTATCTCCCAGCCCAACACTACACAACCACCCTATCTCCCAGCCCAACACTACACAACCACCCTATACCCTAGCCCAACACTACACAACCACCCTATACCCCAGCCCAACACTACACAACCACCCTACACCCCAGCCCAACACTACACAACCACCCTACACCCCAGCCCAACACTACTCAACCACCCTACACCCTAGCCCAACACTACACAACCACCCCTAGACCCTAGCCCAACACTACACAACCACCCTACACCCTAGCCCAACACTACACAACCACCCTACACCCTAGCCCATCACTACACAACCACCCCTAGACCCTAGCCCAACACTACACAACCACCCCTAGACCCTAGCCCAACACTACACAACCACCCTACACCCCAGCCCAACACTACACAACCACCCTAGACCCTAGCCCAACACTACACAACCACCCTACACCCTAGCCCAACACTACACAACCACCCCTAGACCCTAGCCCAACACTACACAACCACCCTACACCCTAGCCTAACACTACACAACCACCCCTACACCCCAGCCCAACACCAAACAACCACCGCCAACGGATGGGGGTACATGGTGGGTGGTTGCATGTTGTTGTGATGATGATGGTGGTGGTGGTTGCTCTTGTTGGGACGTGGGAAACAAGTGTTTGTTTGTGCTGGACAGAGTGGCGCATGTCACGTGTTGTTATTGTTTGCTGTGAGCTCTCGCCTTGACGTCAGGTGCACCTGCTGTGTAAACACGTGTGGCCCACCATCATTGCTCTTATATTCTTTTTGCTTATTTTAACTATTGACATATTCCTGTGTGTGTGTGAGACTGCGATTTGCTCAAAGTCTTGTCTCGAATTGGCTTTGTGCGTTTGTGTTTATAACGCACGTGTGTCTGTGTATACATAGGTCGACTCAGCCTCAAATGAGTACCTGGTGCGGTGTGTAAACATCTCCACGGAGGGAGACAAAGGCGGACGGGCGTGGTGCTGGCCACCCCCACGTGTGCCATGCCGGCCTTCATAGGTGCTCGCTAACAGCACTTGCCCCAGCAGTCTGTTACAGACTATACGGGGGATCTTTGTCTTTGTTGTATAATGTACGCGTGTGTGTGTGTATATATACCTTATTGGGTTACACCACTGTTTTATGTATATTGTGCAAAGCGGTATATGCTAAAGATGTGCACTACTACTGTATTATTCCATTAGTTTACTACTTCAGCCCCACCGGTGTGTTGGAGAAGTAAATCCACAAACTTTACAATTCATCCGATGATTAAATTACCAGCGAAACGTCGAACTTCTCAAATGGTAAACGTTGTGGATTTACTCTCCAACACACCGGTGGGGCTGAAGTAGTAAACGAATTGGCTCGTTTTTGTTTACGTGTCAATCCTTACTGGCTGTGTCGGGTGGTGGAGGGGTTACGACACATTTATACTTACGCGATCTAACCCAACAACAACACCTTTATTATGATAGATATTGTTCGCGACAGCCTACGTGTTGTACATACTGCTGTGTTGTATCCGTGCCTTGTGGCCTGTGTATCACGGAGCGAGATGGCAACAATGATCGAGGTCTGCTCGGGCACGAGAGGGCTTCAGGTGAGTGAGAGAGTTCGTGTGGCTTTGGCTTCTTCTCCTACATTGAAGGGGGGGAAACTACAGCCTTTAACCCACGTGTTATGGTCCACAGTTTGGGTGGCATGGCCACAAATCTAAATGGTGAAGTGATCTGCAGTTGTCTGTATATTACATTGCCGCACTGCAGTTGAATATGCCAATGCGTTTACACCATACACATATCACACAGCACTGTACGTTAGAAATGTACAGCTACACTGCACTTAGTGAATTAAGTGGTGCCGTTTTGAAGAGGACCCCCGTGTATTGCATGGTGACCCATTCAAGGACTATCCAGGCTCAAGCCCTGCTTAGATTTCCACATCTGACGGGGCGAATTCCAGGGTGATTTGGTCACAGACAACGGGAATAACAGGGCACAGCAACACCTACGTACAATAGCCACAAATACATATATTGTATACGAAAAGCGCATGTTACTGGACGTATTAGTTGGTGTTGGCTGTACTACCCACAAGTAATATTCACGGTACTGAAATTTAACCTTTCGTGGGGACCCCGGGGTCACATAAGCCACCGGCTCTCGCACAAACTGCGTTGCGACGTCATTTAATGTCTGTCGAAGGCGAACGACACGGCCATCTGTTCCTCTCGACGAGCTCTACACGGTGCGCCCATCAACATTTCAAAGTTTTGTTTCTTCTGCGCATTCGTCCTCGCTGCTGCGCTTGGACACGACACGACAAGAGAACGATCCGTGCCGGGTGGGTCGTGGCGTTCATGTGCGCGGTGGGACGGAGTCGACAAAAATAAATTAAAATTAATTACGATTTTGACTT